GGATTATTTTTTATTTCAAAATTTAAATTTTTTATTAAAATAATTACCCCCCCCCCCCCCCCCATAACAGAAGCCTCCGGGGCTTCTAAACTGTCCAAGTGTTCAAAATTTTTAGGGGGACTTGTATTATGGGAGGGAGCTACTATCACCACTTTCGTACAAAAATTTCCAGGAAAAAAGGAGATTTTGAATTTCGATGCTCTTGCCTTTCTAATCACAGTAATCTCAATTAATCTGAAAAAAATCTTTTCCGAATAAAAAATGTAAATTTTATTTGTTTCCTTTTTTTACACACGACATCACACAAGAACAATTAAAGTAAGAAAAAGAAAAAAAGAGTTCAGATAGATACACAATAAATACATATTAGACTACTTTTTCCAAAAGTGTTCGAGTGATTTGTGGTTTAAAAAATTCAAATTATTTTTCGGACCTTCCACATCGATTCCTCCAAAGGGAGCTTCTGTTATGGGGGGAAGGTAGGGTGAATACAATGCGAACCCATTGACTCTATCTGGAATTTGAGATTCTTCATAATGTAGACAAACTACTGCCATACCAATACAAGCTTGACTCAATTTAATCCTCAGATAAGATTATCATGTTTTTCATTATAACATTCAACTTGCACCGAAGCCTGTTTTCTTCTCTTTCAATCATCTAAATATTGTATGAGTTGTACTAACTGTATACTGTGAAGCAACAACAAAATGATCCATTTGGCGTTTTGATGAGAGAATTGTTATCCTTACCACGCACACAAGGACTAATTTAGGATTTCGTAAATATTGAATTTCAAGCAAAAGAGATAATGTCAAAATTGTCAAAGATCCCAGCTTCATATGAAATATGAAATAGAATTTCACAAAAGAGAAGCTTTTCCCAAAATGATGAAATTTTTATCAATCGAGAAATTTCGTTGAAAGTAACAGTTCAGAGCATAATGAAATGATTCAATCTGTCTGTTACTAATCGTCACTATCTAATGAGGAGATGCTAAATTTTCTGACTGATTTCCATTTTTGTGTACGTAAACTAAAAAAGAACGACAATGTTTTGCTGTACAAAAGTTCATGAACTCGTAGTCATCGTAAACTAAAAAAGACCTCAGTTATCTATTTCATATAATTAATTAGAAGTTACGGCTAAAGCATTTACTTTTGCTTATTTTTAAGAAGCGAACCGTACGTATCAAATAAGCTCAATTCGTTCTATAAAACGAAGAAACAAAACTGAGTGGAAAGACAAAAACGCTAAGCATCTCCGGTTAGAAACCTATTTTCGATACAAAATACGTCATCTAAATTTTCACAAAGTGTTAGCCCTATCTAGATTAAATTAGAGTAAATATTTCAGCTAGATAACATAAGCCCTCCCCAGCGAAATTGAATTTCCTGCTCAGCTAGATAGGCTAAAGTCTCCGCTTTCAGAATATCTGTTGCTTTCCACAAAAGAATTCCTTTTTTATGAGGTTTTGACAGGCTCTTTGTCAGCCATCTCGATTTTCAGCCAATTTTTAGCAATTTTTCCCGTAGATAAAATAGCGCCATTTTCAGTAGTGAAGATGTTTATGTCTCCGGCGATATATGTTAAAAAAGCTAACCGTAATTCAACCGGTTATTCCTGAATAGAAAGAGCTTTCTTTTGCTTCATATATATGAGTGATTCTGGTGATTTTTGTATCGTTCGACTTAAGCTAATGGAAATGCATGATGCTCCGTTAATACTAAATCGAGCTTTTAGAAGCTTATGCCATTTTATTCCGGACACTTTACTCTATATATACTGCTAAGATCTCTTTTCTGTCTTATTTCCTTAGTGTATAGGAGTGCATCGGTTATTTTTTCGTGTTTTTCAAAAATTCACAATAAATGTTTTGTATTTTCATAAAAACGATTTGCAACATTTTTCTAAAACGGCAGTTTTGTAGAGAAAACATTTCTCTACAAGATGATATATAATAGTTAATTTTA